TTCTTCTTCTTCTTCTTCTTCTTCTTCTTCTTCTTCTTCTTCTTCTTTTTTGAGATAGAGTTTCTCTATGTAGACTTGGTTGTCCTGGACTTGCTTTGTGAACTAGGCTGGCCTTGAATTTACAGAGACCCACCTGCCTCTGCCTCCCAAGTGCTGGAATCACAGGTGTGCGTCATCATGTCCAGCTTCAATATTTTTAATTGATAAAAAATTGACAAAGTTCCTTAGGTTCTGGAATTCCAGAGTAATGTATCTTTATGATTCTCATTGGGTAAAAGGTATGATTGTGTTTTCTTTTGTTTCATTTTGTTTTATGAACTGGGAAAGATGAAGCTATTGGAAAAGATTTGGGACATGAACTAGCATGATGTCTTGAATGCATTCTTCCACTAGCATATAGATTTTAGGAAAAAGTATGGACATAAATTGAAGGTTCAGAAACATGAATTAGCCTTAAAACTAAGAGTCTGCCTCTCTCATTAAAATCCTAGAGAGGCCTGTCAGTGGTGGTACAAGACTTTAATCCCAGCACTTGGAGGCAGAGGCAGGAGAGTCTTTGTGAGTTTGAAGCCATCCTGGTCTGCAGAGTGAGTTTCAGAACAGGCAAAGATAAACAGAGAGACCCTTTTTTTCAAAATCAAACAAACAAAATATCCAATGGAAGATATAAACTCAGCAACTATGTAAATTTTCACATCATCTTATTGAATTACATGAGAGAGGCTATTTCAAGTTAACGTTCATTGGGTGGTTGTATTCAAGAATACAGAACTGTGACCTCTCCTCTTAATTTTTACAGGTGAATCATCTGACTTGGCTTGTCTTCTTGGTAGTATTAACCACACTTGTTTTTGAAATGGGGGTGTCATTTTGTAGCTTTGGCTGGCCTAGAACTTGTTATAGAGACCAGGCTGGCCTTGAACTCATAGAGATTCACCTGTGTCTGTTTCCCCAGTGCTGGAATTACATACCAGCACCACCAAGCTCAGTTAACTTCACACTTGAGGATCCGGTAGTAAGTATATATACTGATTCCCTGGGACAACGTGTCCCTTTTCTAGCACCCGTGGCTCCTACCAGGGCTTTTCACCTGACTCCTATGCTAAACCTCTCTAGCCCTAGGTGGGCTTGCCATCTCAGCTTCTGTATAACTCATCCATTTGGCCAGTTGCTATCTTGGTTCTCTCTTGGGCTGTTGGTCCTCAGCTCCTCTCTTTGTCTACTTTCCCTCTCTCCTCTTCTCTTCCTTTCCTCTCTTCCCCCCTTCCCGACTCCCCACTCCATGGCCTGGTTCAGTCTGGACCCTTCCAGAAGGCTCTGGCTGGGCTCTCCCTCATATCGACAATAAAATCACTCTCCCCAGCTATACTTAGGTGTGGTCATGTCCTTACTTCATTCATGTACAAGTATTAAAAATGTCAAAAGATGTACAGATGAGTGTAAAAGCGTGAGAAGTGTTTAGAATATGACAAAGGAAAAAAGCAAAGTACACATTTGTATGCAAATCATGATTGACCATGTGAAGGTACATTCATTTCTGGATAACATAAGTGACTAACTTAAAAACTAAGTTGACTATCTTTTAAAGATGTTTTTAGCTTTGCATAGTTTCTTGCGATGAAGTTTGCATTGATGCTGAAGCTCAGTCTACTCTGGTATTCCCCAGTGGTGCTAAGAAAATGTGTGGGTTTAAGGTCTGGCCAACAGTGGTCAAGAGGTTGGAAAGTCTGTTTCCAAACCTATTTTCTCATGAGTCATTGCTTCTCAAAATAAAGTTGAAACACTTCCCAACCTAGTTTAATACCACAGATGCCAGGTTTTAACGTCATGAATCCTATAAGCTTACTTCCTTCTGGGTGTAGCTGTTAATTTGCTTCATTCACCCAGGCTTTTTAGCTTTCTTTCATTTTTTTGGTTTTTATCATTTAGAATTCGAGAACTCGAATTCATTGGGTTTTGCAGTATTTACGTTTTTCAGTGGCCAAAAAAAAATAAAAAATAATAAAAAAAATCACGCTTGGCAAACTCTAAAAGGAGTTTTATTTTCTGAAATGTTTGGAGTGTCTGTTTGGACAAGCTCGGTCTATTCCCAGCTCATCAACAGAAGGACCGAATGCACTACCTCGAGGTTGTTCTTGTGAGTGGGATAGTAAGACTGGGTGCTCCCGAGCTGTACGCCAAGATCTCCCGAGAGCGCTGAAGGGAAACGAGAAAAAGACTGAGCACGCGAGATTCCCACAGCTTCTCAGTCAGGCAAGCTACCGAGAGGACAGACGGCGTCAAAACCTCCCGGACGCCCCGCCCCTCCGGCAATACGCAGGCGCATTCCTCTCAGCGCGGTCTCTGGGCTCCCCAGCCCCCCAATAGCACGCAGGCGCGACTTCTGAGTAGCACTCCAAGGCCCCGCCCCCTCCCGAGGAGCCCCGCCCCTTCCGTAGCACGCAGGCGCATCCTTCTCGGAGCTCGCGCAGGCTCCGCCCTCTCCCGGCCGCCCCGCCCCTGCCGCCCTGCCCTGTCCCGCCCCTAGGCGGTTGCTGGCGGCTACCGCCGCCCTCCCTCGACCCAATGGCGAGACTGCGGCGTCAGTAATGTGAGGCAGTGCACTGGCTTGTCCGGCCCCGGGCCCTGCAGCCCATTACACCATCCGCCGCGGCAGGCAGTGCATCGCGAACGGCCTGGGAGGGCGGGTGCAGACAGCTCCGCGGGGCGGGGCGGAGCGAGCAGCGCGGCCGGATTCATTCCTGTGGGGCGCGGGGCATGGAGGAGCTGTGCGGCCGCTGGCGGAGCGGTACACGGGCGACGGGGACAACGGTTTCCATTTGAAGGGGCGGCCCGAGCCGGAGCAGCGGCCGGTGGGAGGACCAGCCCCGGGGCAGGTAGGAAGGCCGCGGCCTGGGGCCCGGCGGGGAGGCCCGGGCGGGAGGAGGGCGTCGGGGCGGCCGGCGGGGTCGTGTGGGCCGCGGGGCCCCGGGCGGGCAGGTGGCGGGGAGGGGCGGGGGGAAGGGGACGGAGGGCGGTTGTGGCCTCGGAGTACCGGGCGGCGGGCGAAGTTAGAGGCTGGAGGGCGGCCGGATTTCCTGGGCGCCTGGCGTAGTTGGAAGGGAAGAAAGCCTTTCCGGTGAGGTGTTAGCGAGAGCGGGCCCGAGGGTTGGTGCGTCTGACCTTTTTGTTCCCTATCGAAACCCGTCCCGGCCACAGTGAGGCCTGCCAGCCTCGCGCCCTTGGCGGGTTCTCTGCCGAGGCAGGACAGAAACATTTCTGAGCCCGCCGCCTCTCTTACCGCGGTCGGTTACTCGCTGGGCGTGTGCAAAGCAAAACCAGAACAAAGCTGGGCTGGCTGGAGCCGGACACGAGGAAACCAGTTGCCTGTAGTGTTTCGTTTTCCGCACGTTGAGGGAAACCGCCTCTCACCGAAGCCTTCTGGTCTCCGCGTGGACCCTTTTGTAATTTACTTTTCGCACCTCTTTTTGGGGGAAGGGAAACAGTCGTTCCTGGTACGGCCCTTTTCCTGTTTCCACAAAATTAGAAAACAGGGAAGCCCAAGTCGTGTTTTTGCCTTGACTTGTATGGAAAATCCTAAAACTGCTACTTTTTTTTTTTTTTTTTTCCTAGTGTGCTTTTCTGCTTCTCCGATGTTGGATAATGCGGTAGGACAGAACACACTCGGTGGTTTTATATGCGTTCTTGGGCGCAGTGACTAACTTTGGACTTTGGCTCTTGTAACTTGCCTTGGTGGAGAGTTAAGCTGGAGCTCTGCTTTGAAGGATAAATAAAGCTTAGCCTCGACTGGACATAAATGGATCTAAAGACGGCCGTCTTCAACGCAGCGCGCGATGGCAAACTCCGGCTCCTCACCAAGTTGCTGGCAAGCAAATCGAAAGAGGAGGTTTCCTCCTTGATCTCAGAAAAAACAAATGGGGCCACACCACTCTTGATGGCTGCTAGATATGGACACCTCGACATGGTGGAATTCCTTCTAGAGCACTGCAGTGCTTCCATAGAGGTCGGGGGCTCGGTCAATTTCGACGGGGAAACCATCGAGGGGGCCCCCCCTTTATGGGCCGCTTCTGCCGCAGGACATCTGAAGGTTGTCCAGTCTTTGTTAAATCATGGAGCGTCAGTCAACAACACGACTTTGACCAACTCAACTCCACTTCGAGCTGCGTGCTTCGATGGCCATTTGGAAATAGTGAAGTACCTTGTGGAACACAAAGCTGATTTGGAAGTGTCTAACCGACATGGGCATACATGCTTGATGATTTCATGCTACAAAGGACACAAAGAGATTGCTCAGTATTTACTTGAAAAGGGGGCAGATGTTAATAGAAAAAGTGTTAAAGGTGAGTTCAGCTTTGGTTTTTTTTTTTTGTTTGTTTGTTTGTTTGTTTTTAAGTGACTGCCTTTTATTTTCAGGAAGTTTGGTAACAATTTTTAGCATTGTTGTTGAGTAGGCCTACATTGACAGACAGTTTATTAGGTAACCCCTCCAGTACTACCTTGACTCTGTTACTTGATAGTACATTAAAAAAATGTGATAAGCCATCCCAGTCACTATGTTAAGCAGCATTTTCACTCTCTTCCCTAAAATTGCAGAGCGTATTAGCTGAACCTTTCCGGTTTACAATCTGGTTCGTTTGGGAGTATAGTGAAACGCAATATATTGTTTTGAACTTTTTAAAGAGACATTTTGGAGTGGTGAGTCACTGTCTTATTTATTCTAGGTAGGCATTTTATTTGTTACTCTGTCAAAGAAGGCTAGACCACACTGCCTTGAAAGAATTAAATCTGAAAGGGACATCTGTTCTCTTATTCCACTTACTTGTGACCAATAGAAAAATCTTTTATGTAGAACTTGTATTAAATGTAGCAAGACAGAAAATGGATTTTAAAGATCTGCTGAGGGCTTAAAAAGCTAAACAGGGACTAGGTTAAACCAGTGTGGATTTGTAGCCAACAATTGAAGGATCTTTGTCAGGAAGAGCTTAGGTTTAGAGTTGAGTATAACTTTAATGATTTGTGAGAAACTAAAGACAGTGATAGATTAGGAATTCTTTTAGCCTTTGAAAGAGGCTTTCTCTGCACAATTTTGATAACCTGAAGACCTTACCTAAGTAAATGTGCACAACACTAAAATAATTTACTACTAAATTTAAAAAATAGCATAAATCAGGTTAAGAAGTTTTCAGACAACATATATTGGCTTGCATTGTTTACATTGAAAAATAAGCCTTACCCCCCTGCATTCTATACTCTTTCTTTCTTGTAGAGATAGACTGTGTACCCTTCCCTCCTTGCTTTACCTTTGGTGTTGGTTGACTCACACCCCACCTCTGTGTGTGTATGTCTGTGTCTCTATCCTAGGTTATGCCATTCAGTTCTAGCAAACATGGCCATCTCATTCTTGTTTGATACAATTTTTCATTGAATGTATAATTAATTGATCTAGGACTGTGTTAGTGTAAACCATGCTGCTGTGAACATTCTTGAAGAAAATTGTGTATTAGCCCACTTCTGTGAGAGTGCTTATAGTGTGAATGGCTGTATTTGGAAATATTGAAGCAACATGTGCTATGATAAAAGGTAAACCGTGCTGTGGGGCACTGTATTGTTACTAAGTGTTTATAACAGTAGTATTTTTTTTTTCCTAAAAAGGCCTTATAAGACCATTGAGATTTTTGTTTTTTGTCTTTAAGTTTTTCAGAGCAAAGGCAAAAGAAAAAAAAAACTACAAAAAACCTGCTACTCAGTCCTTCCAAAGATCCTTATAAATTTTGTGCAGATATGAGTGTGCAGTTTTATTTTGTCTTGTTCTATAACCTGTTTTTTAAATTAGTAAGTTATTTTTACATTCTTAACTATAGCTTCTTAATTTCAAGAACTGTGTACTTTTTTTTTGTTTTTGGACATTAATGAGGTAGATGTGCTTGTTCATTTTTACAGAAATAATTAAATAGTTGGATAGCTGATAAAATAATTACATAGGCTGGATAGTTGATAGTATAAGATATGCAGTATCTTTAGTATTTTTCCTTTTAAAATTTTTTTCCTTTTATTGAAAATAATTTTTTCTCATATGTCCAGATTGTGGTTTTCCTTTCTCTGCTTCTCCCAGTTCTTCCCTACCTCCTTTCCCATCCAGACCCACTCCCTTATTAGAAAACAAACAGGTTTTATAAGGGAATATAATATAATGTAATAAACTATGGTAAAACAAAAACTTAACACATTGGAATTAAATAAAAACAAACAGAAGGAAAAGAGCACAAGAAAAGGCACAGAAACATAGACCCACTTGCTTGCATACTTGGGACTCCCATAAAAACACTAAACTAAAAGTTATATATGCAGAGGACCTGGTGCAGACCTATGCAGGTCCTGTGCATGCTGCCTTGGTCTCTTGAGTTCATGTGCCTGTCGGTCATGTTGGATTTAGAGGACCTTGCTTTTTTTGCTTGACCGCTATTCCTTCTGGCTCAGATGTTCTTTCTGCCTTCTCTAACCTGGGGTTCCCTGAGCCCTAAGGGGAAGGATTTGAAGGAGACATCCCATTTAGAATCGTGTGTTCCAAACTAGGTCTCTCACTGTCTATATAATGTCTGGCTGTGGATCTGTGTATTTGTTCCCATCTGCTGCAGGAAGAAGCTTTTTTGATGATGGCTGAGCAAGAAGGCACTCATCTATGACCATAGCAGAATGTCATTAGGAGCCTCTCTCTATCTCTGTCTCTCTGTGTCTCTCTTTGATACAGTAGTATTTACTTGGTTTTATCCTAGGTCCTCTGGCTATCTAGTCTCAGGTTCTTGGTCATCCAAGCAGTGTTGAATATGGGTTCCATTTGTGGAGAGGGCCTTCAGTCAAATCAGATACTGGTTGGCCAGTCCCACAGGCTTTGTGTTGTCATTGCACTAGCATAACTTAAAGCAGGACACCATTGTAGACCAAACCCTTAGTAGCTGGCTGCATTTCTCTTTTGGGTAGAGTGCAGAGAACCTTGCTGTACAAAAGATGCTAGAACAGTAGGGGTGAAGGCTCTCTGTAGGCACCAGCTTGACTTCTCCATGTCCAGTGGGTTGTGTAGGAGTTGTCTTCGGCAGTGGAGCCTCGTGGTCAGTTTGTGGAGAGCTGCTTATTGTCTGGCAACAGCATGGGTTCTTAGGGGATGTCCATGGACACCCTTTGACCAACAACTCAGATATGTCTCAGACCCATCTAGAAGCTTCATTTGGTGTCAAGCGATGGCTATTTGGGGCCCGCTCTCTCCCCATTATTTGGCTATTTCTTTTAGCTATCCTTTATGTATATATTTTAGGAAGTTTCTGTTGTATATAGGTTTACATGCTACACCCTTCAAATGGCCCTTAATTTTAGCTGTCTCTCCCCATATTCCTCATCTCCCACTTCTTTATCCCCACTCCCACCTGATCCTTCTTTTTCAGCCCTCCCATCCATATACTCCTATCTATTCTATTTTTCTTTCTTACAGACATTCATTGGTTTTCCCTACTCCCTTAACTTTGTACCCAACCTCTGTGGTTCTATGGAAAGTAGCTTGGTTGTCAGTAATTTAACAATTAGTATCCAGATACAAGTGAAATGTATCACATTTGTCTTTCTGGGTCTAGGTTACCTCACTTGGAATTTATTTTATCTCTAGTTCTATCCATATACCTGCACATTTCATGATTTCATTTCTTTAAATGGCTGAGTAATACTCCATTGTGTAAATGTACCACATTTTCTTTATCTATGGTTGAGCAAGTCTCTGTGGTAGGGTGAAGCATCTTTTGGTATATTCCTAAAAGTGGTGTGTATAGATGGATCTTTGGTAGGTGATTTCTCCTCTCCCTGAGGAGCCGCCACGGATTTTCACAGTGACTGTACAAGCTGGCACTCCCACCAGCAGTAGGTGAGTGTCTCTTTACATCCTCACCAGTGTGGGCTGGCACGTTTTCTTGAGCTTGGCCATTCTGATGGGTGTAAGGTGAAATCTCAAAGTACTTTTGATTTAAGAACTGGATATTCACTAGCTGGTGGTGCTGCACACCTTCAATCCCAGCACTTAGGAGGCAGAAGCAGGTGGATCTCTGAGTTCGAGTCCAGCCTGATCTCAGAGCAAGTTCTAGGACAGCCAAGCCTACCCAAAGAAACTGTCTCAAATAACAAAAAAAGAAAAAAAAAAAGAAAAAAAAGAAAAAGGGGGCAGGGACTGTATATGTTTTTATTAGAGTTTTACATTGATTCTGGGTTTTCAGTGATAAACAATGATTTTTTGTAAGCATTGTTCAGTATTTTATTTGTTCCTGATTGTCTCTATAGATGGGCTGATGAAATAGGTCTGTTTTTTTTTAAATCCTTCTGAAAAATGTTTATTTAAATTACTGTATAATTATTCAGTATTTGGAATGCTTCAAGATAACTAAAAGAAGTAGGAAATGGTTAAAATATATGATCCCATGTTGAAGCTTTTTAATGTTTTGTTTCTTTGCTTAGGGTTCCTTACTTGTCAGTGTAATAATGTTCATCTTATTGATGTAGCCAGATACTGAAATCATGTTGGGTTATGTTTTAAGTTCTTAAGTCAGTCGAGAGATGAGTACTGATAGTATTTATCCTATATTTTCTAAGCTTGATTTAGATACGTTATATGCTGTATGAGAGAAATGTAATATAGATAGCCTATATTTTTGTCTGCTCTTATATTTTTGTCTTCTCTTAGTATGTGACTATTTTTGAGTGATTCAAAAGGAATGTTCTCTTCCTAACGACCGTTACCACAGCTTTGCATGTGAGGATGTGTGGGCTCACTCTTTTTGCAAGGTGATCTGCTAAGTCTAAGTCATATTTTCCTTGGTATCAACATCTGATACATCTTTTTAAGAAGACAAGTAGGAAAAGAGTTATACCAAATGTTGTTTCAGGTAACTTCAATTTTAAATACAAACACAGACAAAAGATTTTTATCATTTTGTGCATAACCTTTTTGTGATGCCACTTCATTTGGACCATGATTCTTTATGGATGTTAGGGACAGATTCTAATACATACACACCCTCACATATTCTAATACATACACACCCTCATTTGCCTGTACTCTGATCCTGAAGCTTTGTTTCTTTGATAATTGTTCTTTGATTGATCCCTAATTTCTTGGGTGAGGACATGGGGGTGGAGGGAGTCAGTGGTATCAAAAAGGAGGAACCACTTAAAACTGATGTGGGACTGTAAGTATTTTATCTGGCTCAGCAGTGAAGAAGGATTTTGTTCTAATATTTAGCTGTACCTTAATAGTGATAAACACTGGTAAGACCAGAAGTAGAATTCAACATTTTTTTTTTAAAAG